TTTAGTCTCTATGGCTGTTTTGATTGCATAAAATATTTCATAAATACATATGTGACTTACTTTTCATTAACAGGGCAACGAATTGTGTCTTTATCTTGTTAGACATAACATTATACTGATTTCAGTTTGTGTGTGTATTTTTCCTTTCTTTCCCCCCTTTTCCCCCGCTTATACGGTGATTGGTTGATTAGATGCCTATTTTGCAAATGCCTATTTCCATCTGAGTAAAACTTTTCTTCTATTTTAGTATAATCTAGGATACGAAAAAATGTGTAAGTATGTATGACATGCATATTAAAGAATCCAAGCAATTAATTTGCAAGTTGAAATCAATAAATTATTAACATAAACCTTAAAAAAATTGCATGGTCACATTACTTACATAATTAGAAAGTTTGATTCGCTCTCCCACTGCGGAACTTTTTTGTAACCCAATAAACATTGGAAACTTTTACTTCTATTTTTTCCAATGAATGGCAATGACTTGCATAATTACTTTAATGCGCAATTCATTTGCCATTTAGTTCATAAACGTGACTGTATGAAATTATGTTAATTTTGAGTTAATGTTTTGTTTTAATTTCCTTCTATATCTACTATTCGTGTTTTAATATTGTCATCAATTTAATACTTGCAAAACGTGTTTCTTTATCTATGCGTTGGAAACATAATCACATCTATCACCAAAGTCACTGGGCAGGATTCAACGCCATGAATAGCATTGATTATATAAATAAACTAATGTAAAACTGCAAATATGCTATTTTGATACATTTATAATTGGAATATAGAGTAACACACAGTAATGTTAATTAAAGTAGCCAGCCGTGAAAGTATTAATCGGTCTGAATAAATCCATCGAAGTAAATAACGAGTAAATTCAATTACGTAATGACCAACCAACCTTGGGGAATGGTCACTTTCTCTCAATTGTCTGTGATTTTCATAAGAATGTATATATTTATATGCATTATTCATAGACCGATAGATGTTAATGATACGACTCAAGCCTTAGGGAAATGTCATCAGTTGTCAAATGTATATGGTACGGTATACAACTATATTAAGTCATGGTATGACATTGTCAAAAAGAAATCTGGCAGGAAACCAAATATTGATAATGTATAATCTTGTTTCATAAACTTCAACTGGGTTGAAAATTAGTACGTACGTGTGTTTAACAAATGAGTCGGTTTGTTTCTCTGTATAACTTTTATGTTGTGAATGTTTGAACTTTAAGTGAATTTATCAGTACCTTATCATTTCGAAAGTATTTATTCAATATGCCAATATAAGAAAAATCTTTATTCAAGAAGAAAAATAATATACATATCATTGCAAATTTGTTACTTTTGCCATAACATATTGATAGTTTTATTATTCATAACAGATACAAAAAATAATCACATTTCACTGTATGCAACGATTTGAGTTCACTGAATGAATAACGTAACTGTAACTGTAACAATTTTACTGCAAAGATAGTAGTATCATCATACTGTTAAACGCAGGAAATGATAATAAATACAATACGTTATATATCTTTATAACTTGCAAAAACAAGATTAAGCACCGACTAACAGTTAAAAAAACGATACATAGCATACCTTACGAGCTAATAAATAAAAGTAGGAAAAGCTGGTGAACTTTTAAATGGGCAATAACATATCTTAATGGATTGGAAATGAGAGTCACACCCTTGTACTGAAATTAACAAGAAATACTTGACGATTTGATTGTCTGTCTGTCTGTCTGTCTGTCTGTCTGTCAAGATATCATTTTATCATTTTTCATTTAAATTAATAAACATGTCCATTATTTTGTCTTTCTATGTTTAGAATATAAACCACTTAGTAATGCTAAGAATTTGATTAAATAAAGGGAGACATTTTATCATACATGAACAAGCTAAGTGTTACTCTATAGAATCACTACCTTGCTAAAGGATATTTCTGAACAAATTAAACATAAAATAACTTGCAAATATTTGTGCAATTAATTAAAACGTTACCTTGAAGATCGTTCTCCATGTTATTATGGTTGTGGTTATGATATAATTAAAATTACAATTTGAACACACGTGTGAAGTAGTCAGTAATTTGTTGATAAAAATTCTTCTTAAAATTTCCCTTATGGTCTAACCTTTACTTACAATTAACATACTTCGATTTCTTTTATTTATAAATCGATAACCAATCATAACTTGTTGTAATTCTCCGCCATATATTTGTTACTCGATTTTGCATTTTTTACAGTTATGCTCATGTTCATGTATGCGCAAATAAATAAATGGAAAACGAGAAATCTCTGATGTATATAATTGATTGTTTTAAATTGGAACATAGCTGCTACCACACCAAAATTAAAAAGGCAAAAAACAAGACCGCCCTTCGACAAATGCGATTTGATTTGTTGTCCAGTTACAAAAAAAAAATAATTCGACTTGACAGGGTTTTACTTTTCTTACATGTTATAGGTTTACCGTGATTAAAACAGTAATATTTTTTTCGTCAGGAAAAGGAAGCAACAACCAACCGCATGAAAAAAATTAATTAAAATAGATTACATACATATTAAAAGGAAAGGTAAGTTAAGATAAGTTGCAAGGGATTAAATCAAAACATACGTTACATACTCTAAATGGTCTATAGTTGCAAGGCAAATAGACGAAAGGATATCAGCGACATTACATTTTCGTGTAAATATAGTACAAAATACTGATTTCTATTTTGTACCTTCATTGTAGATATACGTCGAAAATCACATCGGCACTTAAACTAACCCTCTCTATGAGTGTAAACAGTTCTATCCACTGATTATCACTTGAATTCTATATAATTTCATATACCTCAAATATTTTCAAGCATAATCGGAGCTAAATGAATCACTTATCTGAACAGAATTATTAAACTATGTAAAAAATGCACACAAAATATTTACGTAATTACAAAAAATGGTCATAAATCAAATTTATAATTGTATTAAAATTGTAATGTTGTAATGTTTTGCCACGAGATATTCTAAGAATATTAATATTTCTTTTGTAACAAAAGATTCGGATTAGATTCTTGATTCAATCTTCATGAGCAGAGATATTCAATAGGCAGTTTATAAGCTCATGGGAAATCGTTTCTTCTAAAGTAACATTTGTGATTTAGAATAGGCTGGCATCAGTCAGGGCAATTGGACTTTATTAATCCCTCGTAAATTCTACTTAGGTTGTGTTATTATTCAAAATATTCCTAAATAAAGACAGCATAAAGCTTACTCCTACTTTTGTACTTTTGCTGTCATTGTTTTCAGTGTGTTTTGCTCTTCCTTAGACCTAGATTCATATGAATAAGTAAACACGTTTTGTGTACTTCTGTACTTTCTGATAAGTTAATGAACATTGATATGATATTTTCCTTAACGGTATAAGCATGCAGTCAATTTAGTTATTAAGTTTGTGCTACATACGATATTTTTACTTATCAGATTTTCTCTGAACTAATAATTTAATTACTAAAATTTGAAAGAAGATGATGTAATAACAGCGCGTACAATTACCATTCATTACAAGGTGCTAGACACAAAATTATGATTGCTGTCATTTTGCATAACATTATCATGATACTCACAATCATGACATATCAAAATGATATATGAACATGTCATACTATATATTGAATATATTAGTTTGCGATGTTTATATTATGCACTTTATCGCTAAGACGTATACACGTCATAATTTGTTTTTCGATGCATTGTTATGATTGTATTATCGGCATTGTAACAGATAGAAATGTAACAATACTCACTGAAAACGAAGCTGTATGTAACAAGTTTATTATCAACGATCATGGCAATAATCTGATATAAGAATCAACTTTAATACAATTATTAAATGACCAATATAAACTCACATTTGTCACTCATTGGTCATTATTTCTCTGTTTAATTCAATTTAATCGTTCGTTTGCATTATTCATTTACCGAGAGATGTGGATGCGATGGCACATACCTTTGGGGAAATAATTACGCTTGCCATACACGTTCGCTTTGTATATCACTCGAATAAGTATTGTCTTATTTCTAATTTCAATTTCAATTTGACAAAGAGTCTTCAATTGGTTGTTGTTTTAAAATATATTGCTAATGTATTTGATAGTAGCTATATTGTACTGATTAATATTTTGTATCAATTATGTTCTATGTACAAGTCAAACAATTAAGTTCTGTTCTGTTTATATAAATGTTTTTGAAATTCATAAGGTTTTGGAAGTATTCATTCAATTGTATAAACGGACTCTAAAACTTCCATGCAATTTATTTGAGTAGGATGGTAAAAACCACCAGATTCACAAGGTATTTCCATAGTTACCGATACCTATAAATAAATAAATTTTATTTAATATTAAGAGAGCCTTTTTATTTATTTTTTATTTGAGATGTACCAACATTTAGCTTTTTATGTGGCATATTGTCTTGTCTCTAGTAAATGTATTTTACAAGGAAACAAACAACTTTTCTGTTGTACAAAATCATTTAATCTACGAATGCAAATAAAAACGACCTACGATTGCATATGCATTGTCAATGCAAATAAGTAATATAATTTGCTGACAAAATATCCATCATCATAATACTGTCTCAATGTATACAACTTTATTTTCAAGAAAAAACGAAACAAAAAATCGCAAAAGTTACAACTAAACTATATATCACAGAAAAAACTTATTTAACTATTTTAAACATTAACCACCTTGATTGTTTTCTGTATGATGCATTCAGTTAAGTTATTGTTCTTACTGTAAAACAGGCATTTTGTTCTTAAAGTCATTATTATAATACTGTAAAGACGGAATAGTCTGAAACAAATATACTTTATTCTTCAATTAACACTTTATTCTCTCTCCATAATTCAATTAGCCAAATTGTATAACAATTTTGTCTTTCATAATGCATGGTTATTATATCCCGCAAGAAACTTCAATATATTATACTGTATAATAACTTACCTTCCCGAAAGATTTCTATGAATCAAGTTTTATGTTTCAATGCGTCTTCAGAAGCTAATTCCTATTCAATCCTGAAACAAATAAGATAACAAAACGTTGTTAAAGATAAAAGTCTTATATTTTCATGAAATAATCAGCCATTGTATACTTTTATATATTTTCCCGGGATGTTATCGTATTTTTCACAAATCAAAATACAACAAAAAATCATCTAAAAGTTGAAAATCTATTTCTTTATTATATGGCTAGCAACATCCTTTGTGCTACTAGGACAAATGAAAAAAAGCAATTGTTGTTGATTAAATACATTTGGCCCCTTATGTGAAACATAGGGTTTAAAATTATATAGTATTGGGTTTTTTTTTCATTGGGAAATGTAAGCTAAAGTTTCCCTTTTTTAAACATTATCAAAATCGATTAAAAAAATAATTTTTCCCTTTTTCATTTTTAAGTGTTTTTAAATTTTTTTTGGGAAAACAAGCAAAGAGAAATAAAGTGAAAAAACCCAAACTTTATTTCCATTTCTGCAGCTTTTTATTAAGTCAAAAATAATCTATAAACCCAAATTTTATCTTTTAAATTTATGATAAACATTTCCCTTATTTTAAAAAATTAAAAGTTATTCTCTATAAAACTTAAAGAAAAATTAAATTTCAAAAAAATGTAGCATTAAATTATAACCTTTGCAAATAACCGATCATCAGATAAGCTAAATTATCTTTCGTAACTACAATAAATCATTTGACGTCTTTGGTGAAGATATCACTCAAATCCAACGCGAGCTTCTAACACTGCTAATGGTCTTCTATTTGGTAGAAAACGTATTGCAATGTTTTTCGAATTAATCAAAACCAATAATCAAATATTGCACTGTGTCCATCAAGATATGATATTGGCAGGTGATAGATTCTATTCAGTCAAGTAATGATCAGGAGAGTAATACATTTTGAATCTCACACTGAAAAAAACGTATGTGACTTAATATGTTAGTCTGTCACATAGAGACACACCATGCTCGCTCGCACGCACACACACACGTACTTTCTAGCACCTTTGCAAACCTTTGAAATTATATCTTATTCAATTTAACTTTACAACGAAAAAATAAATGAGCATAATTCCACTTTAGGTAGTATATTTATGATAGGTTTTGACTATTGTTTTACTCGAGTTATTCATAAAGAACTATAGTTTTAACCTGTATCGGTATATACCACCAGAACTTACACTTATTATTCAAAATTCAGTTTCGCCAATAACTGTAAGTTATCTATATCTGATTGCTGCAAGATATATGTAAGGAAAGTATAACAATAAAACAATGTATTTTAACCGGAAGTCATGGATTATTGTGGAAACGAATATACATTACTATTTTCGGTTTTAACTGCGAGTGAGCAAAGGTATTCACATTAATATTAGTCAGAGTTATTATTTTACTTTATATTAATGAAACTGTGAATATTTGCATCTGCCAAACACAAATATAAATAAATGTGTGTCTATTGAATAAGTCTAAGAGCAAAACAATTAGAATAAGTCTAAGAGCAAAACAATTATTTAGATCTTAATTCAATACTTAGAGTGACACAAAACATATACAAGTCATGTATAATAATAATTGAAAAAGTACAATTCTTACACGTATTATATATTTTTTTTATCGTAAAATTTATTACAATCACCCTGACAGAATTATCGTCGGAAACCAGTTTAAATCAAGCAATTGAGCAAATTAAAATTTTGTTTATTTTATAACATTTTTTTCTCGATTTCAGCACTGAGAAACTTAACTTTATATCTTTAAGCTTACTGAAATATTGTTATTCCAGTTAATGCCTTTAACTTTTGTCAGTAGCATATGTAAATTGTATGTATTGAGTTGGAAATTATGCGGATGTTTTTAATTCAAAATTTTAAATGTCAAATGGTTAGCCGGTGTAAGAGAGGGTCCAGCTATCTTACACTTTTTAGTAAAGTCCATGACAGACTCGATCAAACGGTCTTGCACAATTTACATTTTTTTATTCTGGACGTTCTATTGGTATTCCTTTTTTTTATCTACTTCAAACTAAATAATGTATCAAATAAATAATCAACAAACAAATACTTGGTCCATAATGTATAAATAGTGGTTCGTCATGAATGACATTTAAAATTAAAGGAAAAATAATGACAACACGAATCTCACTAATGAAAAATGTTAGAAAAAATGTGTTAAACTGAGAAAGAGTTGTGTTACCTACCGTTAAAGTTTTAGTCCGGCTTTGAAAATTCAGTAATTGATTTTTTAAAACTTAATTTATTTAACGCTTTAATTAAACAAAAAAAAATCCTATCATATATATCAAAGTTTATTCCCTAATTTCATTATCCCAACCCAACCCCACTTAGTTATCAACCCTTTAAAATCCGCTATTAAAAAACCCTTTTTGGGAATGAATTTAATTTCTTTTTTAGAAATTATCATTTTTATGTTGTTTTTTTAAAAGGTAGCTCTACCCTCTCTTTAATTAAAAAAATTTAAAATGGGAAAACCCAAAGTCTGCGTTTGATTTTAAGGGTTTTAAAAGGGAACCCTTTAAATTTAGACAAGCTTTCCGTGGTATTTTTTGGGGGACCCAGGAGCGTACATTATGTTTAATATCAGATATTTAAGTCTTTTTTAAATTACATTTTTTTAGTGTTTAAATTTTCCTTTGTTAAACCCCGTGTTTGATTCGTTTCTGCACGGTATAGTTGGATAATTGACTGTTTTTACAGTTGCCCGATAAAGGTGTCCTATTAAAAAACGCTGTAATATATTTTCTTGATATTTATAGCATCTTCTTATAAGAATTTATTACAATGATCGTAAACGTTTCAATCAATTTCTTCAGTAGACGTTTGCTTCATTAAACAGCATGTAAGACAACACTACGGAGTGGCATATTAAACATTTTCTATTACAGTGCCCATGTATACGAGGGGTGATCAAGAATTACGTAGACTGGTTCAATATCTTTGAAACGGACCCATATAATTTTTTTTTATATCACTGTCGTGACCTATCTCTTTGCCATTTACAAGGAGATGTAAATCAGACATGCATTACTCACAGCAGAATAATCAGCATTATTGTAACTATAGTAACGCGTTACCGGCCCAGGTGCTATTTTTATATATAATTGCTTTATTCAATGCATTATAATTTCGACACTGTTTATCAAAATAACAGAAAAAATGCAGGAATATGTTTTCGGACGTTTGTATGACGTCGCATAAAAATTTGACGTCATTTGACGTTATATAAGGAAAATAAACCACGTTTAGTAGTCCTTTACGCGGCTACGTTAAAAAAATGACATCACAAGAACGCATTGAATTGCGTGCCAACATAAAGTTCTGCATGGAATTAGGTTAAACGCCTACATACACATATAAAATCTGGAAACAAAGTGATCCCTCGGATCTGCAAAAAGCTGCAGATGACAGAGGAGAGGATGTTGTTTCTCGAGCACTTGTTTTAAAGTGGTTCTGGCGATTCTCTGAAGGGTGGAAGTCACTTGAAGATAATGAAGGGCGTGGTAAAAGGTCGAACGTCAAGCCGTCAGATGTGACGTCAATTGAAGATATTATCAAGGAGGACGCAAGAGTGACCATTCGAGAGATATCAGAAGTAACTGGGATGAGCTATGGAACCACGTACACAATTATCACCAAGAAATTGAACATGCGAAATGTATTTTATGTGCATTAACTTACGTTGTTTTATTTTAATCACTCTACAACCTATTCAGTTTCGAATATAAAAATTCAAATTTTCCGCGCTTATTTATGATTTCGCACGTATCGTTATAAACAATAAAATGCAAGGATACATATTTGTTTCAAACATGCTGCGTGATTCAAATTTATAAACAATGTATCAAAACCTTAAATAATTTTACAAAATACCTTAATATTTGCATATCCGTTTGATTTCTCAGTGTTCCCAGATTTGAAATGCCAGCTGAAGGCCAGTGCTTTGAGAATTTCAAGGAGTTATAGTCAGCAACAAACACCCTAATACGTCAGTATCCAGCAGAGTATTACAGGAATATATTCTTCTCTAAGTAGCCTAAGAGGCATGAACGTTGCATTGCATGTTCTGGCTCGTACTTTGAAAAAGAGTGAATGTCATGCGCTTTTCCTTAAACACTTACGATGCTGCAACGTCGCTGACGTCAAGAGTTTTTTGACGACGTGGGCCGGTACCGCGATAGTGACACATTTTCATGGTTTGTTTGTTTCATGGGGCTGCGTTCATTGAACGCCGCCTTTCCTTGTCGATCTTGTTTATCATATTTTGTTATTTCGAATTATGTAAACATATTGTAAAACAAAATTGCATATTGTTTGTTGATAAAACGTACTTTCATGTGATATGAGTTTTATGTACGTTTGTCAAACAATAAATGAGATATTGAGCCAGTCTACGTAATTCTTGAACACCCCTCGTATTACTAATGATAAAGATTTTTACAGGTTATATGGTCCTTGATAAATGGTTATATTGCAAACAACCATTCATATACGGCCGTATAATATGTCTGAAATATTTACATCAATTTGTAATACAGCAAACTTTCAATTTTTTAGAGAAAAAAAACGATTTCTTCATATTGATAGCAGCCGTGTATATACAACTATATGAACTTCAAGATTACCCAGTGAAAAATGGCGTTATCAACGCGAAATATTATAATTAATACCGTTTTGTTCAGAAATGTGAGAAATTCTAACGATGTACATTTGTACTGTTAAATTGATAGAAACACCGATTTTTAATGTCATTAGTTGTGAAATGGTAATATACTAATTAAATACATGCTTCGTTAGGCAATATCCATTGACCAGGCGTGTATATTTACATTAGTACAGTAATAATTTATTTTTACGTCGTACACAGCATTAATTATCAAGTATACCCTTGCATATATAGCGTTCTTTTGTGGTTTTATTTGAAACAAATTGTTTAAAATCCGTTTTTCGTAGTATTTATTGATGTTTTATTGTATATTTGATTTACTAACTAGATGATGTGGCGAGA